ACAATTACATGGGCAAGATAATGAGTACATTTCTTATCAAGCATTGTTGCCTCCTCCTTTGTTTCCCCTTCCCATCCCTTCCCATCTCCCCCACCCCTGCCCCCCAATTTGTTTTAGGAGTTAAGTCCTTTAGATTCCAATAAAGTGGCATCTCTTCTTTGCTATAAATTTATAAAACATGGTAATCTCTCCTAAGTTCATATAAAGTTTTAACAGTATATGACATTTGAGAAGGAAGTACATATTGTTCCCAAGGTCTCCCTTTTCTTGAAATCTTTCTTTTAATTTCTGAGTTCCAACAGTCAAAAAGCTCATCGATCAAGACCTAAAAGTCAACGGAGTTTAAAAGCCACTGCAGGGGTCTGTTCTGTTTTAAATACAATTTAGAAAACTTAAGAAAGAATGGCTGCTTCCTTTCCGGAACCTCCCATACATATTTCACAAGAACAGCCTTCCAAATTGGACATTGTAAAATATTATACCACCAACCAAGTAAGAAAAGCCACTCAATGCCCTGTAAAAAGATTCCCTTGATTTTTGACAAAAAAAAACCTACAAAAGCTTGTATTTACTTAAAGCTGAGACTTTAAAAAATCAGAAAGGAAAAGAAAAACAGTCAATTTTGCTAAACGATTATTATTCAGAAGTAAATTACTATGTAAAAAGCCAGCATCTGCTTGACAATTTGCGAATTTCAGGCAGATGAAGTGCCTCTTTCCTGAAACCATCAACTCTGCTGATAAAATGTGTTAATTATTCTAAGTTTGGTTGACAAGGAAAGTTCTTAAATCCTTGTGTTTTTGATACAGGGAGTTAGGAAAGCAGCTACTGGATTTGCTTAGGCAATGCTTCATTTCCGGTGCTTGATCTGCTGAGGAAACATAAACCAAGCAGAGTCAAATGGAACAAAGTCATACACAGAGATACGAAAATGTAGTCCACTTCCTTCAAAGTCAACTCAAATGGTCGATTTGTGCTTGTTTTTGAAGTTGAAATCGATAGTTGAAGTTACTGGGTAACTGGTATCATGTTTCAAATGAAATCTGATCTTACATGGGTTAAAGAAAAGGTGAGTTCATTGCTAATTTGCTAAAAGAGGTTGGTGTTTTCTCAATATGGACCATAAAAAAATCTGCCAAGCCATTCTCTGCCTTTGAGTTTTCTATATGGATCGGAGCTTATTCTATTGATAATTTTCCATATTGTTTTCAGAAAGACATATAATCCATTCTGTGTTGAACAATGCAAGCAGAGTAGTGTCCTAACTAAAGATTATAGACCTGGAAACCTAACAGCCTAACCTAGACTTTCTGAATTTATATTAACCAGGTATATATTTATGAGCAATGTGTTTCAAGGAGTTGGAATTTGTATCAATTTTTCTCATGCATAACAAACAGTTCCTTATAAGTTAATGCATTGATTTCTGTGACACCTCACAAATATTCTTTATTTTAAAAAGTCAAAGTCTTAGTAACCCTTGGAAGTTAAATTTCCTGGCTATGATATTTGCTGCAACTTAACTGGAACTTCCAAGATGCAAAGTAAGCAAATAGATGATTTTGAAGTGTTTGAAATTTGTTCTAAATATGCAGATATTTTGAAAAATTACTGATAAAAACGTTGCTCAAGAAGAAGTATACTATAAAATTAGAATTTTATAGGCCAAAAACTTTTGAAAAGAGCACAAGCAAAATAAAATTGTAACTGACCTTTCAAAGAAATTCACCCAAGTCTTCTGAGGATCAAAATCAATCTCTCTTGTTTTTTTTTAATGATAGTTTGCATTTCACCTTTCACAAATTACTAAATCTTTCTTATATTAGAACTACTTGTTTGTTTTTCCCAAGAGTGCCTTTGCCACTATGCAAGGTCATTTTTCTCATTTTTATATTGTTTGCACTGCCCAAGACAGGTTGAATCCTAATAAATACTGATTAAACTTAACTTTTTATCTTGAATTACTCAGGAAGGGTTAAGTGTCCAACATTTTAAAAACCAGTCATTAATGTAGTCAGCATACATATATCCTCCATTTGAGTGTTTTTATGTGTATAAATTCCTGAAATGTTACATGAAATGTTTTTCAGGTATGTTTAGATAGGTGAATAGTTTTGTAACAAAAGTCTCTGAACTTTCATCTCTCTCATTCACTTAAAGATAACTACGATTCACTTAATAGTGAATTAAGGTTCATTCCCTAAGCATCTTTGTTCTAGTTGAGCTGAAAAGTGTTTGAGAATAGTTCAGGTTGGCATTGACAATGCAGTATTGCCAAGTGTAACCTTTCACTGCCCATATGTGACAAGTTTTATTATTTCTGGACTTATCTCTGAAAGGAATACATATTTAAAGAAATATCAATATTTTTAGCTACTATTCCAGTTTTACTCTCTTCTACCAGATTTTTATATATTAACCTCTGTGATTTCACTCAATACACATCGGCTATTGCACCAGCAAGCATTTCTCTTTAGTGAAAGCAAATATTTTCCCTGTTGTGAACCAGACTCCTTGAGCTGCAAGTCCATGTCCAAACACTCCACTGAGCAAAGAGACTGCTGCATTCATGTTTCAGGGGAAAGCTTCTTCCTAGTAAACTAAAGCTGAGCCCTCTAGTAGTCATCCCTAATACATAGACCAACAGAAGAATAAGAGAAAACAGTACCTGCACTGACTTGGCTGGTGCAAAGACTGGACAGCAGAAGAAAAGTAGTAGTCACCTGAAGAAATCGCATGGTGCCTATGGATTGTCTCAGTGGCTTCTTTCTCCAGAATAAGGCTGGGAAACCTTCTTCCCAGCCTGGTAGGGTCTTATTAGCCAAGGGAAAGGTATGTCGAGTGTAAGCTGCCACTGCCCATTCCTACTTATTTTGGGGGCTCTGATAAAGAACAGGAGGAAATACACACACTCCCTTGGGGAGTTCAGCAGAGAGGAGATTTATTGTTTCAGTCCCTACAGGAACTCTTTTTTTTTTCCTCTCTCTTCCTTTGGCAGCCACTTGTGTTTTTGTTGCTACATTATTTTGTTCTTCTTCCACAAAAAGGTCAGGATGAGTTTTGAACAGAATCAGATCCATCTACAGAATGGACTAGCGGGCTTTCTCCTTTTGTTTTGAAAGCACATTTTGGAAGTAGTCATAAATGGACCTCCTTAGGCATGACTTGGTTGGGATAAAAAAGCCTTCCACTTCCCAAGGGCTACGTCTTTACAACAAAGCCACAGACAACAACTTTTCTCCTCTCTTCTCAATTTTAAAGCCAGGTTAGTGTAGACCAGCTTCTAGAGAGAGAGAGAGAAAATCTTATTAAATAGATCACCATCTGCTCTTGAGAAAGCAAAGCCTTGTGAAGGATATCTAGGGAGATTTTGAAAGATATTGCTTAGATAACTAAGCAAAGGTATGTAGATATCCATTATATATTCCTGACTTTTAAGGGCGTGTGTGTGTCTGTGTGTCTGTGTCTGTGTATATATATATGTGTGTGTGTGTGTGTGTGTGTGTGTGTGTGTGTGTGTGTGTCTGTTGCTATTCTTGTAGTACTGGGGATCCCAGGGTCTTGTGCCTGCTAGGCAAGAACTCTTCCCACTGACCTCCATCCCCAGTTCTTGGTTTGAATTGATGGCTTTTGATGAAGACCAAAGACATATTTTCTCATAATGTTTCATGTGAATAGAATTTGAATGGTCTTGAGTGGAATGTGATGAGAGTGAAACCATAAGATAGAGACAGATAAATTCTGCTGGACCAAAATGTCAACCAGACAGGTTAGTCTGTGTATCATGGTCTCGCTGTAATTAGTGATAACTGAAGAAATCATGCTGGGAACATTTCTCAGTCTTGGATACAATCCCTGTGTGTGACAAGGAACTCTACAAATTCCCAGACATAGACTTCACATTGAAACTTAGCCAATGACTCTTCCTGTACCATTAGGTATGATGTGTACTGGACAGGAGTGTTGATGCATATGTTTCCTACCACAAAACTCCTAAAACTATTATCCCATGACCTATGAATCAGGATGGCACACATCTCTGTCCACCATTCAGAACAAGATTCCTTTCATGAAGGACCGGGGTGAGTCAAGGTCTTGAAACACCTAAAAATATAGCTTGCTTCATTCTGAAATTCTGCTGAAGCTTAGAGGAACTATGTTTTAGGCATAGCAAGATTAATTTTAACCTTCATTTCTAATTGATTTACTTGTCATATCCTGGAAAATACAGAAATAGCAACGTATGCAAATAGATGTCATAGGCACTTTCAAGAAAGCACAATGCCTCACTTCCTGCTTCTTACCATACTTGACCCTGGAACACTGGACACACAGGCTGCCCACTGAGGCTGAACACAACGAGTTCTATGGGGACTCAGCTTTTGGGTTCCTCAATCCTAATTCTTCCACATTTTCATGCAGTATACAAAATATCTGTCCTAAGATTGCTTAATCATAGATGCTTAGGCTATTTAAAAGACAGAAGGGTTAGAAGTGTGGCTCAAATGGTAGAATGCCAGCCATGAACCAAAAACCAAGTGTACACAAGCAGACGTTCAGTCACTGCGCTGGACCCCTTCCCTCCTCCACCAAAAGAAATCATTAGCTAGGCCTGCAATTCTATATACTTTGGAAGCAGAGAGTGGGAAGATCTCATTTCAAAGCCAGCCTGGGCAAAAAATTAAAGGTAAAGTGTCACTGATGTACAAGAACACTGACTAGGTGTCAGGCCCTGAGTTCAAGGCCTGTTGCACGTAAACAAACAAACAAATAACAGAGGACCCATAGATGAAAAAGAAAGCAGAAACATGAAAATAAAGGAAGGGGGCTGGGAAGGTGGCTCAGTGGTAGGGTGCTTGCCTTGTATGCATGAGGCCCTGGGTTTGGTTCCTCAGCACCACATAAGATGAAAAAGCCAGAAGTAGTGCTGTGGCTCAAGTGATAGAGCACTAGCCTTGAGCTGAAGAGCTGAGGGACAGCACCCAGGCCCAAAGTTCAGGCCCCATGACCGACCAAAAAATAAAATAAAAATAAAAAATAAATAAAGGAAGTAGCTAAATAACCAACAAAAACCAGGAGTGATAAAGGATGGGCAGCTTTTCTATACTGGATCAGGAAGTTGTTTTTAGGTTAGTAAATTAAAATGTGATGATAGCTAGAGAAGGCAGAGAAATCAATGTCACAAAATAGAATAGAAAGTCCAAACACAGCTTATATATACATATAGAAATGTTTGCACACACATGCAGGGTTATGTGTGTGCATGTGTACATAGAGAGACTAGACATAAGTGAATTTTACATACAGTAAATGTGGTAAATACAGTGTATATTTAATAACTGTTTTATTTGACATGTTAACTATGTAAAATATTTAATGTCTCTATATTGCCTCAAATACAAATATTAATTTCTTATATGTTAGATTTAAATATAAAAAGTAAGCCAAGCCAGACTTGGAGGCTCACAACCATAGTATTGTCTAATGAGGAGGCTGAGATCAAGAGTATTGAAATTCAAGGCTAATTTGTACAAAAAGTCCTTTTTTGGTCAAATGGCAAACTGGCTCTTGGATTTCCAAGGGCCTTTTCTTTCACATCCCCCAATATCCATTTAAATTATACTCAAACATAAAGATTACCTCATACTGATTCTCAAACCTACATAAACCTCTCTGTCTCTGTCTGTCTCTCTTTCATAATACTATCACTTTGCACTCAAAGCCTTGAAGTTGCTAGTCAGTTAATTTTTTTTTTTTGGTCAGTCATGGGGCCTGAACTCTGGGTCTGGGTGCTGTCCCTCAGCTCTTCAGCTCAATATTAGCATTCTACTATTTGAGCCACAGTGCCACTTCTGGCTTTTTCTGCTATGTGGTTCTGAGGAATGGAACCCAGGGTCTCATGCATGCAAGGCAAGCACTCTACCACGGAGACACCTTCCCAGCCCTGTCAGTTGCTTTTTATTTTGCTTCTATGTGGCCTTTAAAAATATCTATTCCCGACAGTATAGTTTGGGTCTCTGCATGAGTATGTATGTAACCACAGCAGCATGGATCTGCTTTAAGTTTGCACAAGCATGGCACAAAAATTTGTTGCATTAAACCATCAACATTTCAAATTTATTTTGTAACTGAACCCTAATGTACCCAACCCTCGCTGGTAGAGGATCCTTTTACCTTTGCTTGAAAATTCTAATTTGATGGAATTAGGATTGATTTGGTTGCATATCATTTACCTCCTCTACTAGACTACAGAAGTGTTTTCACGCATCCCCACAGTATCTGCCACAGAATAATTTTTTTGGTCAACTAAATTGACTTTTGGGGGGAGATTTTAAATTAGACATTTTCCCTTCCCTTCCCCTTTCCCATTTGGCCTTCAGCAACAGAATCCAATTGAAACCCCAGGAATCCAAGTGAAGGTTCAATGGTTATTCTTTTGCTTGAAGCCTCAGGTTACCCACACATTCAGAGTCTGCCAGCATGGTCTCAGTTTCTGCATTGACGTGGAATCCCAGGGCCTCAGCTGGGTTCTGGTCCTCAACATAGACTTGCTGTGATCAAGGAGTTGGGTAGAAAGCAGAGCGGTTCCAGGTGGTCTCCATGATTCACACAGATGCACTCATTAGACTGAGAGCAAATAATTCTCTCTGCGACTTTATAGGTAATGAAACAAGTCATTAAACAGATTCTCTTGGTTTTTTCTTGTCATGGGACTTGGATTAGTTCTGCATTACTATAATGGAATACTTGACCGAGGCTAAGAGTTACTTAGTTCACAGTTTTGGAGGTTCTATAGCCTGGTGCTGGGATCAGCTGTGGTTCTCTGTCTGCTGTGCCACAGTATAACAGACAACAACCAGGGCAACTCTTTGCCAGGGCAAAGAGTGAGAGATGAGGCAGGTCCATGCTTGCTGTTTCTCATAACACTCCTCTTCTGAGAACCTAAGGGGTCACAGGAGAACCACCAAGATTTGTACCTTATGACATCAAACACACATGAGACTCTCCTTAGGCTAAAGGTTCCACAGCAATTTCTCAACACCACTACCTCCTGGACCATAGTTGGTGGCTGTACTAAAACAGGAGATTCATATATGTTAGTTACATCATAACTTACATTCTTTTGCTGTTAAATGGCATAAAAATAACAAAACAACATTTATCTCTACATGCCAGTTTACCCATCTGTAAAGTGACAATTCTTAGTTCTAGAACTATCCAGTTCATAGTATCATTTTTGAAATTGAAGATGATTTGAGTGAAATCTTTCAAAATCTATGCCTTCCTATGTAAAAAAGACCCAGGATATGGTTTAGGCTTTCAAAAAATTAAGGAAATGAGTTGTAAAGCAATACAAATAGTTTTAGGACCAAGGTGTTAATAATTAATAACATGATCATTATCAAATTCCTTGTTGAGCCAGAATGAAAATACTTTTAGCAAACTGCAAATAGCTTTTGTACCAAGCCTCTTGAAATAAATCATTTCCATTACATCAGCAAATAGAATTGTTTACAAATGCTTTCAACTTCATTAAACAAGCACTGGTTTAATATTTTCCCACCCTGTATATGTAACTAAACATAAAAATATCTTGGATGAACAACAAAGCTGGAACCCAACTAGACTCATCCTTCCAATCCAGCCTTTGTCAGAGGAAACAACCACAATGACTTTCACAAGCAGAGCAGGGCTACATCTATAAAATCTAAATATTTTGAGTTGGGAGGTGTTGGACTAGCCTCATGCTATCACATTAGAAAGTTTGCCTCTGCTTCTCCTCAACTATTACACCACAATCACCACAGGGAGTCTTTCACAAACATTGATATGTAGGTCTTGTCCATGA